CACATGTACAGAGCCACTCTGCACCAGTATACTCCCTATCTCACTAACAGCCTGTAGCTCTCTCTGGTGATACATCTCAAACTTTAGTGTTTATGATCAAAGACAGGCCAAGAGTTTGGCATTTGGTTAAACACATCGTGCAGCCAGTCCCATACTAGCTACTGAGAAGAAAATTAACTCTACCCCAGCTAAAACCAGTACATTTACATAATTGCAAACTGAGTTTTCCACAGCATCACTGTTTTACACAATGGATGGCATGGACTTGTTTGTGGGATAAATCAATGCAGGGCAGAAGGCTGCTGTCCAAGGATGAGATGGGCTGCCCCATGCATTGCTGACATGTTATGTCAGAGTTATGTAATGAGTGAGAAAGGTAGGGGAAAAAAAAAGAAAAAAAAAGACAATTTCCTACTTCAAGGAGTAATAAAGTTTCCTCAAAGAGTTTGGAGTCTACATCTGTTTTTTTCATATTACATTCTATGAGATACAGGACAAGTTTCCTAAAGCCAAGCTTTTCACTCAAGGTCATCTATTAAGTGTATGTTCCTCATGTACTCCATGCCCAACTGGAAACCTGGGGTCTGCCTTGCTTGAAGTGCTGATTACTCATAAATGCAACTTAAAGGGGGCTGTGCTTTCAGCTTACTACCCAATGTTAAATGTTGTGAAAAAGATAGGAGCAGGATGTCTCAAACTGGACTGCCAAATTAGTAGGTGCTTTCAACTTTGATTTACTCTACCCCAGTCTCCATCTGTCAAATGAGGACAGTAATCCTTCCTCATTTCATGGGGGTGTTGTGAAAATAACTTCATTAATGGCTTTTGAAGCACTGTAGTGTTGAGTGCTATGCAGAAACCTAGGAAGAAATTAATAGATCTGTCTCTGGAGCAAGTTCTAAAAAGCATGCAATAAAAAGGGCCTGAAGGCACACACTTAATTGAAGAGAAAAAATAAAATATTGGGTTTTATTTACTTGAAAAAAATATTTGAACTGCTCAATGAGTGATTGCTGTACTTGCATTATCCAGCAGATTTCATCCTGATTTTAACATAACTCTCAACTAATAATCTCAGTTTTTATTTGTAAATTACCATGTTTCTAAAAATTTGGATCTATTTAGCTCTCCACAAATAACATAGCATGGACTTCTACTGATAAGCCTGTGATTCAATAGCATCACTAGAAATATTTAGAGGCACTCTACAGATCTTAATCATTTAAGCTCATGAAATAAGGCAACAATAGCCTCTTTCTCAACAGGAACTAGTACTTCAAGGAAAGAAGATCACACTTTGGCAATAGATTTTGATGGTATACTGAAATAGCAAAAGAAAGGTGAAATTCAGGGGAGAAAAAGTGCTCAAAATTTTACACAGAACAATACATATTCATTTCCTTTCCAAAAACAACAAAACCATTTTGATCATAGTCTTTCCAAATGTTTTGCCCCAGGAGGAACCCTGATGTGGAAGTTATGAACCCAAATATTTAAAGTTTGTGAAGAAATTAATTTTAAAAATCCTGTTTACCATAATGTATAAGTGATAATTTTCAGTTAATCTTGATGACAGTCAATATTTTCTGCCCTACCTAGAATACTCATGCTCACACTGTTCTGCACAGTGTTTTGCTTGCTGTGCAAGCATCTCTCCTTGCACATCTTCAGTACTGAAGCGGTTTTACTATTTATTATTTTTGTTATACACCCTCTATCTGTTTCCAGGGAAGAATATTCTTCTAGGGAAGAGTATTATCCTTTAACTTCCCTTAAATAATATAGAGATGACTAATCACTGTGGCACCCAGGAAAGACATGTCAGGTAAAGTAAACATTCTGAAAAGAATGTACCCTTGAGCTATCCCTGCCAAATACTCTTACCTGGAACTGTCATAATGATTGTGGTGCAACCAAAGAAGGAGCCTTTGATGACTGAGGAGTTATCTGAATAAAACTGCTGCGTGATTAGAAAAAAGCCTACTGCCAGTTAGTCTAAAGCAGTGCCATTTAATAGAAATGATAGAACCACAGGGCTGCTGGTCTTAACTATAATAGTGGGGCTATCAAATGCATTTCTAAAAATGTGAGAGAGAAAAAACTATTGTCTGCTTTACTTCCACTTGTTCAATTTGTTTAAAAAGTACAAATGCAGTGGCTGGGTTTTGGCTGAACATTAGGCTAGTATGGTTTATAAGGGGCTGGAGTTAAAACTAGAACTGCAGCTCCCCCAGCACCAACACCGAATAAAGGACATCCAGTGCCCTGCATCCCTTCCACATCCTGACTTTATCAAACAAGTGTGTGGAACAGTATTTTTTAAGTTTCCCAGGGGTGAAAAAAAATCCTGAATATTATTATGTTACTTGCAATATGAAAGAGGATGCAACCTTTTTAGGTTTTAGGTGTGCTGAAACAATCTGGTTTAGGTGTGCTATGGCAGAAACCACTTGTTCTTTGAAATTTTTAACCACAGTTCTTATTTGTATATCAAGCCCAGCTTCTTACATCTCCTTCCTACTCTAGTGCTGGCTACTTAATCTAAAAAGCAATCTCTCCAGATTTTAAAGTAATATTTGCAATGTCCTCTCAATACTTTCACTTTTTCTCCCTAGCTATCTTACTTTATGTGCTTCTCCTGTATTTTGATACCAAATCCAGTTGTCTGAGTAACAATTCTAATGCCCTGAAACTTTCATGCAACAGGTAAGGATCAAAAGAGAACCTTGTCTGAATTAATAGAAGTGTGAAGCCTAACAAATGAGATCTACTGGCATGCAGCCTGTGACAGCATTTAGGAGGCCAACACCCCATCTTCCCCAGAGTCCCCACAGATCTGCGGGATTCACACTGTATACACAGCCCATAGGCAAATTAGAGAGCACAGAGGCAGTTTCAGGGACAGCAAATGCCCACAGATCTCCTAACTGACAAACAGCCTTCCATCCTGAACTTCTGTCAAACCTGAACTCCATCCAGTCACCAACAGATCACTGGTGGAGAACAAAAGAACTCAAAGCAAAATATGTGGGTTAGAAGAGAGCTCACTTTAATTTGCTACAAAACTAAATTTACAGCAGGTGAATTTACACAGAGCTCCCTCACAGCCTGTCCACAATACCACAGTACAATTAAATACAATACCTCAGAAAAGTAAGTAACTGATGTCCCAGTAGTAGTATTAAAATTCCTACTTTCTCAGGGCAAAGTAAAAATACACAAACCAACAAACAGAAAAGGGCCACTCAAAATGGGTAAATTATTTCTCCTCCTCCCACAATTCCTTACAATAGTTCTTCATCCACAGCTCCTTGTTATCAGGCAGTTGATCTTTTCCTGATGTAGTCTCATATACTTTGTGGTATAGACAGCAATGCTTTGTTTGGTCCTCACAGGCATCTGGAATATAGGCCTACAGAATGCAGCTGGGAGCTGCATATGCACAAATGCCTGTGCTGGAGCTGAAAAGGGCAAATGGACTTCAAAGGAGCACCAGAGTCAGATATTGGTTGGACAAGAAGGATGCTGTGAAAAATGGTAAAAGATAATGGGAGCTGTGGTTTGAGTATGACACTTGTGAGAGGATTAGCACAAATATGCCCAACTAGCAACAGCGTCCTCCCAGGTGGTCTGTATCTAACCAATGTTAATAAAAGCTCCTTGGAGCACAGAGTCCAGTATGAATTTTCAGAAATTTACCCTTGCTGCGTCTCCCCCTCAAATCCATGGGTGTTCCCAGTGGAGCCCTGCCAGCTGGGCAGTGGGGCGAGGCGGGCAGAGGGAAGGGTTTCTCCTTGAATCCTGGGGGGCCTGGAGAAGCCCCACGTGAGTCCAAAGACGAGCTGGTCCCACAAGCGAAGAAAGAGGCGCTCTCTCTCCAGGATTAGTTCCAAGGTTTTTTAATGTCACCTCGAAAGAGTTCCGAGCGAAAGAGGCTGAGTCCCCGCCCAGAGCAGCGAGATATAGGGGGCAGGGAAACCCAAACAGCCAACGGGGGAAGGACTTGGGAGTGGCTCTCTGGGGGCAAGGCCTCAGAGTGACCACTGAGGAGGGGGTGGGGGAGGAGTCCCAGCCAGGGTCCAGGTACCTGGTGACCCTGGGAGAAGGGTCTGGACAAAGGGGAATGGTCACCAGATGATGGACACATCACCTGGGGGGAAACAGGGGGATGGGTTGGGGTTTGATGGACATACAAGTACTGATGGGAAAGTTGGGATGAACCAAATACAAAGAGGGGATACACAGTGCAAACACAACTCTACATACCCTGATATGAAAATATTTCTAATCTGATAATATGCTGCTGCCAAGAATCAGTGAGAGGAAAATATCTCAGGCCATATTTGTCATCAACTCACTTTTGTTGTCTCACATAAACTCAAACTTGTGATCAGATACTTACTTCTTCACAGAGCCACCTCTGAAGTACACAATCCAGTAATATACTTCAGAAATATAGCTTCTATTACACCGTAAAGAGAAATGCAATCTCTTTACTTCTCAGCAATTTGTCTCATTATTCTCAAACTGGAGTAACAATCCCTTAAAATAACAGAATAAATCCACCCCTTTATTTGTTCTAAAGGCAGAGGAAGAAAACATTTTTCACACTCCTCTATGGCAGGAGATAGCTGACTGGAGATTGTAGGGGGGTACATATCCACAGAAGAGAGAAGGGAATTCACAGACAAAACTGTAGCTGGGGAAACAACAGCTTGAACTCCATCTGGTATGTGAGAATGACTTGCAGACCTGGAAGCTTGTGTTTCAATGAAGAGATTCAAGAAAGAGCTGATAATAGAAAAAGGCCTCATTTCTAATACACTGTTATGTCTTGGAAGTGGTCTGTCAACATTAGAATGACTTACAGCTATGCTGTATTCTGCAAATCTGTATTTCTCATTTTTTTAGAGCACAACCTACATCATGCTTTCCTGATCTGCAATTTCATTTCAATAAATACTGTCAAAAAACTTCATATAATCAGTTGTGTCACTTACCTATGGTGTAAATATGCTTTGTGTCAGATTACCTCCTGTTCAAGAACTCTAGAAAAAAACCCACACAAACAAAGCAGATAGTTAGTAATTAAACTTATGTAAATCATATCTTTTCCAGCCAAGTACCCATAAAACCCTCTAGTATCATCCTCCTGGCAAGATTCAAGAATAGCAAGGACACATCTATAATGAAAAGTGAAAGGCTGAGCATCCTGAAATCTATTTCATATTTGATAATTGGCACCTTTCTTCCATTTAGAGATTTCATATTATGCAAATGCTTATATATTGTGAGTCAATGAAGTATAGAAAGATAAGCTTCAAGTAGTCATGGACAATCAGCACAAACTAGAGCTCAGGATGCCTGAGTCTCCCGGAGCCTTTGGAAACAATCAAGGTTCATGGTGTTTAGCCATTGCCTCAAGGGAAATACACATAGTTTCAGTGAGATAATGCACACAAAGTGACATGAGTTTTTGTAGCAAAAGTATGACCTGGAAAGGCCTATCCTTCATAAACCAGCTTTCCATAGTATGGTTATCAAATCCAGATTATACACTTTACAGACCTTTAATGTGCCCACATTTCAGACCCTGAAATATAAAACCTGATTCTTACAAAGAGTGTAAGAATTCATTTATAAATCAAGTGCAAAGAAGGTTCAATAAAGGTCCAACTACGAAAGGCAGAACACTATTTCTTGAAAATTCTGAAGCCCTGGAAGACAGAGAAGGTTCAGCAAAGGGCAACTTTAGCTGGTCTCAAACACAGTCTAAGGTAGAAGATAGGGGGAGGGAGAGAGAGAAAGAGAGAGCCAATCTCTTCTAAAGAGGTGCACCAGTGACAGGATGGGAAGTAATTGACACCAAGAAGGATTACAATTAAATATTGTTGAAGCGGGAAGAAAAACATCATTAGGACAGTAAAAAACTAACATGTAGGGCAGAGATACTGTGCAATCCCTGCCACTGGAGAGGTTCAAAACTTAACGGGACCAGTGCTGAGGAACCTGATCCAAGCTGGCCTTGCTCTGACCTGAGAGACTTAATTGTTGCTGACTTGCCTGAGGGCTCATAGCCTTCACCTGACACCAGGGTGGAGAGGAGCAGGCCTCTCCCTGTGGTCAGAAGAGACTGAAATCTCCTCTACCATCAAGCAAGTGCAAATTTTAAACTGGAAAAACCTTGAACTTTTGATTTGTGTATCAAAATTAATGGTGGTTCAAAGTATGTTAATGAGTAATCAAATAATTGGTAACTTTTCTGCAGAGAAAGCCCAGACTTCCAGCAGGCAAACTGCCCCATCATAATGGCACCTTCAACCTGAAAACCACTATGAAACAAGCAAGTCATGTGCTATTTCACAGATGTATTAAACTACTTCCTGTTGTGGCTTCCTTAAAACTCAGTAAAAAGTTAGATTTGGTACAGAATAGAGACAAACACCCTCCTGTGTCTATCTGATTTCCAAACAAAATCCCACTGTGGAGAAGGAAGGAGGCAGTTTAAGTTCATAGTAAGTATGGCTCTACTGCTGAAATTCTGGAAACATCACATCATCTCAAATTCATTAAATCAACTTTCAGTTCCTAAATGTTCATGACAGATTGCCATACAGGTGGCTTGGATTACCCATTCTTTGTAAGAAAGGGAAAGCTTAGCTAATATTTCCCCAGAAAATCTAAGGGCAGCCTTTATGAAATACTTAGTGTTACTCAAGAAGGAAACGAACACAACTTTTGAAGAGGTGCAACACTGAGGGACACACTGTTCAAAAAGTGACTTGTCTGTGGTCTTACAGGCTGAAATAAGAGCCTGTTCACACTTCAACCTGTGATATCAGAGGACTAGGTCCCAGTAGGAATCCAGTCAGCATAATAACGCTGAAGAGAACATATTGTCTTATATGGGTTTTATATTTGCTTCCACAAACAGCTCCAGAGACTGTTAAACACAGAAATCAAACTGAAATTATCAGAATAGAGTGAACTTAATAGCAGATTGAAATTTGTACAAAAGTTTTGAATTCAAGATTATGGTGAATAAAACACTAGAGTGGATTGCAGGAGAGACAACACAGAAATGAAATGAAACTAAAGGTTTATGAAGCATCTCTCTTTCTCATTGTTCATTTCTTTTGCTACCTGACCTTCATGTTGCGGAGTTTCAGAAACCAGCATTTCACATTATCCACGTTTAAAAATTACTCCTACAGACTATTCTCATTTTAAATAGGAGTTTGTGCTTTCTTGATTTGTTTTGGTTTTTGGTTTTTTGTTTTTTTTTAGCTGTGCCTTCTGTGAAGTGCCCACCAAAGTACCAGATGAACCATGCCAGTCTTGGTTTTCAGTACATCTCCTTTCTTCATTTTCCATGAGTCTTATATAAATTTTCCTGGCTGGAACTGTAGATAGCCTACATAATGGGATATATTTTTCCCATACATCTTAGAATCCTAAAATTTATAACATGAAATTCAAACCAACATAAATTAGTAATTCAATCCCTATATTCCAATTTAATGAACCAGAGGTTACATTACTTTATTGTTTTGTGCCAGTGGACCAATCATTTGGTTTACAGATGGAATGTAGTTCTTTGTTAATAAATAAATGCACAAAAATAAAGGTATCCTCAATGCAATTATGCTGATATCCCTCAGGAACCAGAATGCAATTATTTAAAATATTATTTTCTTAGATTACTCTCAGGAAAATAAGGAAATAAATATGAAATTTGTGTCCTTTTAACTTAAACTCATTTTAAGAGCATCAACAGTGATGCAGATAGTCCCCAGTGGCAACTGAGAAGCACTTAGCCAGAAAATTGTTATTGGATTACAGTTCTGGCTTCATAAAATGTGGCTAAGGATCATTTTAGACATCCATGGAATGACCCATTGTCATAACTGGTATGACAAACAAGTGACAAAGTTATTCTACTCAGCTATTTTGAGGATTTTCCTGATCACAACAGTAACTTGGGGCTGTATCAGACTGCACAGTCTTGATTCAATTATAAAAATAACTCACAATAAGAATAATTCTAGCATAAATAATTGAATCTCTCTAGAGGAAAAAAAAAATCCCCACAAACATGTGCATGCACTTTCAAGTGTTTCTGATGTATAAAGAATTGTGAAGTGATAAGGTGATCAGAAGTCAATTCCAATTGAGAATTATCTTTCAAACTAACTGGTCTTCTTTATTAAAACAAACAAGATGAAAAGGGCACCAAAGGACACTGCATGATTGCTAACAATTCGCAAACTGAAACCTATTAGATACCACTGAGGTTCATGCAATCTTTTTCATTTAATTTTACAGTCTTTTTCAAACAGATGATTTTCTGGATGAGAATCCTGCCTCCCATATTTTAATCTGCTGATAAGCCCCCACCACTAATGTGACCACATAGCAGATGCACATGTGCATACTTAAATATAGTCAAACAAGAAATAAAACTCTTCACCTTCACATTTGAGGTCACCAGTGGCCACTGGCAACACAGTAAAAATCAGAACCTTAATCAAAAACCTAACACGGGATTTAATTTCCTCATGTAAGGTCTTTGTCATTTTTCTTCCCTGCCCGTTACACAGTATGTCTTTGTTCATATAATTACATAATTAACATCCTTAGCACCTATTTCATCCCTTGTTAATTTTGCTAAATATAAAAATAGACATGCTCAAGGAAATAAACTTGGTAAGTGAAGAAGCATAAACAATTTAAAAGAAAAGAAATAAATCTATTCATATCCTGATAATTGGTATGTATAACTGAGCACTAATAGGTGCCTGTAATCCACATGATGGCCTTCTGACTAGAAGGTGCACATGCAAGAACTGCTTTTGCTGGACTGACAAGGATCACCTTGAAGTGTGGGTACAAGAAAGTCTTGGTTTTGTTTTTCTGTAAGCAGTGTTGAGGCTTGTAGCACCAAAGGGTAGGAGTGGCAGTGGATAAACTACACTGGTCTCATAACACCATTGGTTCCCAAATCTTTTTTCTAAAAATCAAAAGGATTGGGGTGGGTGGGTGGAGAGAGGGAGATAAACTTGTCAGCTAAAAGCCCTTAAGATTTTTGTATTTTATCCTACAGTCCAAATTCACATTTAGCTCCCATTCCTCTATGACAATCATCATTATTCACTTGAAGATATGAGTTCGAAGATTAGGAGCCAGCAAAGGGTTCCTCCTTCACACCTTTGCCATGAAAGAAGAGAGCAAGTAGCAGAAAGTGTTTACTAATCAAAGAATTGGTAAATTTCCCAAAGGTTTAATTGATTCATATTTGGAAAATAAATTGGCAATTTTATTTCTTCCTCCACACTGTCCAAAAAGTAATTCTGTCCAACCTTGTGAAAGAAGGAAAATTTCAGATGGGTTCCATTTAGTGGGGTGGCAGAGACCAGATCTTTGTTCATCCTAACATACAGATCTTCACTTCCAAGACCAGATTTTAAAACTGTTACTTGCAAAAAAAATTAGTTTGTTCCCTGAATGATACCACCAGGTCATGGAGGGTGGTGTTGTTAAATGAAAGCAAGAGGATCACTAACTGTTGTTTGCATCACAGATATACTTTTAAACTTACTGCTTCCATAGAGGATACTGTCTCTCTATGCAGATGCATAATATCATTTGATCCAGCAGCTTATAAACAGAACTCAAAAGTCCTTCTCATTAAGAGTTAGCATTGAACTTGTTTTGTGACATTCACTAGCTACTACAATCCTGAATTATACCAAGCTTTGTCCCCCAGTATACAATGATGACCTGCTTATCCCTAGACTTCTGTTTAACTATCCAAAAGTGCTCAAGTAAGCGGAGAGTCCAGTTTGAGCCCTGCTGATGTCTCAGCAATTTCTCCTCCCAGCACATACTATTTCAACAGCCAGTGATCACAGGAGTTAAAGTGCACACAAGCAGCTGAATAAGATGCAATTCTTATTCTTATGATGAATATCGGGGTCAGAGGTGAGTGCCAGATAACACATAGCAGATGTGGAGGGAGTAGAAGGAATTCTGTTTACTTTGGGTGACC